ATCGAGCGACGACTTCGTCTACAGATGTTGTATTCTGGTAAATTATCCGGTAATGAAACTGCCCTTTCCGCCATGAAGAATTTTCAGGTGAATCATCATTCCAATCAGGTGCCACCCGCGCCATCAGAAGAAAATGCACAACGAGTAAACGGTGTTGTGTCAGGCACTGGAAAGCCTTTCCCAAGCGTTCCGTGGGACTTTTCCCCTTCTGTACCTCCCAACACGTCTGCAGCGGGTGCAACCACGCTAGTGGAGAATTTTAGGGATACGTCCGCAGCAATTAAACAGGGATTCTGTATGTCATGGCACGCTTTTCCAGATTCTTTACATTGTTCCTCGAGGAATCCATATGATGTGGGCGTTGCGTTATCGTCGCCACCTTCGTGTAATTCTCTCCCTAGGCAGAACGCATTATCCCCTCTGTCTTGTTCTGGCACTAGAAAACCATCAGCGGTAGGCGATAGACATGATAACGGCTTCATCGGTAATAAGACAGGTACGAACTTCTGTGGCGATGGTCCGCATCCTGGTATGAGTAGTGGTCATGAACAACATGCCGAAGCGGAAATGCAGAAGGGTTTATCAACAGAGGCATTTCACCAATTTGAGTGCCCCGTTTTTGCGGGCAATTCATATACTCTTCCAGCTTTAGGGGCAGGCGATAGACCATCTTCGGAAGCAGGACCCAAGGAAGATGATTCGATAGGCATGTTGATTAACTGGGCTGAACAGTTGGATCCTGACAGTATTGTCTGAGAGGTGATCGTCTGACAGAGAGGAATGGGAAGCAGGTCGTTGTATTTGCCAGTATTGTTGCTGTTAATGAAATGGGGAGAGATTTATTCCCCTTTTTTTTTTGTTGCTGATGTACATAAGAGAAGTGTGATTTTGGTGACGCATTTTGTAGCATCGCCCTTGCAAGATCGGCGCTGATGTCAAGCCTCCTAGAAACGAAAAATAAGGGCCGTTTACGGTGGCATCTGTTATTCCTGTTGCGTGTTGGGCAGTTTTTTTTATTCCCGCCGGTGTGTGAAATTGGATGATGGTGACGATAAGAAAGAGTAGGTGGAAGCTCCACGAAATTTCATTTATTTTTAAAAAAAAAAAAAAAGGGGGGGGATGCGACATCTTTTTTTTTCCATTGTGTTTTTACTCACTTCTTTTTCTGTGCGTCTGTTGCTCCCCACTGCTCACTTTTTGTCTGGCACATCCGTGTGCATCTCTCCGTCTTCGCCAATAGCAGAAAAGACGCCCCATCGCACGTATCTGCAAGGTCTGGTTATTTAAGATAAGTCAGCGCCCATTAGGAGCTAGACGCACTTAGTTATTTCGTTACGGTTATCTCGTGTAGTTTGGAGGGTCCAGGAAGGAGCAGATGAATTTCTGGGAGTGGCAGACAGGCGAGGGAGTTATGGGGGATGAAGAGGTGGTTTTGCACTCCCAGAACGGTGTTGCCATTTACGAGGGGGAAAATCGGACGCACTGGAATGATGGCAAGCTGACAGTCACCACCCATCACATTATTTTTCGGACACTGAGCGGAGAATCGCACGTGTTGCGGCTTCCGCTGGAAACCGTCTACAGCTCCGGGAAGAGCGCCTATAGTAAGGGGCGCCTTGGCTTCTCGCATGCTAAAATCATAGTTCCGCTTCCGGGTGAGGACGTATATGTGAAATTCTCTTTTAGAAGCGGTGGAATGGAGGAATTCTTTGCGGCTATGCAGAGGGCAATACACGGGAAGCATTGGATTCCAAAAATTGCTTGCGATGCACCTGCAGAGTCATCGCCGCTATCGAGGAGAACACAATCAGTAGCCACAACTCCGGTGTCAGCCATGGCATCAACGAGAATGAACAGAGCAGCGAGTGCGTTGGATAAAACGGGTCCTCTGGAAATGGAAGAGGGCAGCTGCAGCCCGCCCAAGCCTCTGCTCAGTGTTACGGACAAGGCCGGGATAGCGGGTCTTATGCGGGCCTCTGCGGAGAAAGTTCAATTGCGTGAGTCGCTGCGTGACATCGACGACGTGATGAAGAAGGCCTCCTCTTTGGTGGAGAGCATTCGATATCTTCGTGAAAGGCAAAGAGGTGGGGAAAAGACAACAAACGAAGATGAAACCGGAATTGAAAGCATTGAAGCGACACTTGGCCTTGGGGCGATGGTGCGAGCGTCATCCACCGGTTCCTCCAATGGTCGCTTCCACCAGGAGCTCGCGATGGAGCTGCATGCGTGGATGACGCATAAGAAGAATGAGTCTGTTTTTGGTGCGATGCCGATTGTTCCGCTAATCGAACTCTTTTCTCTGTATAATAAAGCCCGTGGTGGGAGTGATTTGGTTTCCCCCAGTGACGTATTGCTGTCCTGCCGTGCAATGACTAAACAGGCATACTCCCGCTACACATTGAAGCAACTCTCATCCGGTCGAATGGCGCTACAACACAAGGATCCATCTTTGGTTTTGGGGAAACTTGCACGTGTTCTCGGACCACGTTTTATAAACCCCAAAGATCCCGCTTCCAAATATCAGGCATCAGGGGATACGGTTCCCACAACAGCGACGTTTCCGACGTCATGGACTCTATTAAAATCAATTGATGAGGTGCAATTTGCGGCGAGTATTCAGGTGGCTTGTTCCGTGGCAGAAGATTTGTTAGAGGAGTTGGAGGCGGAGGGATTTCTTTGCAGATCTGGAGGCGAAATGGGACACATTGAGTTTCACTGGAATATATTCCTTTTTTGATTGGATATGTACGCATGTTTGCATGCGCGAGTCCTTCTTTTCACTCCGTCCGGGTCAACAGTTGTTATGTGGGCACAGGGAAAAAAAAAAGGGTTTTTTTTGTTTTTTGTTGTTGTTGTTTTAGATGGCGCTGTCTTTTTCTTTTTTCTGTCCTCCATTTTTTCCTGCGTGTTTTAATTTCCGTATTTATTTGGCCAATTGCCGTTTTGTCTTGGTGGACTGTCTGCACCTCTCATTAAAATACACCGCCCCCTTCCCTTTCACAAACACACACACTCACATACAGACAGAGAATATATGTGTATATACGCACTTTTTCTCCCTTCCTGTTGCCTTATTGGAATGGGCCTTGTTTTTTGTTTTTTTTTTTGCGGGTGTGGTGGTGTTTGCTTTCTCCTGCCTTTACTGAAGACGACAGACGTGAAGATCGCATGGGAACGAACGTTGAGGCAACTTTTGATCAGCTGCGAGGCATCTTGGATGCGGAGGACTTTGGCTCGTGGAGCAACGACGATGCCAACATTCTTCTTTCGCTGCTGGATCAGTACCACAAGCAGAAATGCAAACTCCAGAGAGGTAGGACGCGGAATCCCGGTGGCAGGGAGGGAGAAGCGGAGAGGCAAGATGAGGATGATGAAACCGTGATTGGTGAGGTCGACAGATCACTCACAAAAGTGCGCCATTTTTTGCAAGAGCGTCTCCCGTACGGCACGATTGCCGAACCAAAAGTGCCACATTCCTCCACGTTGTCCTCTCCCGTACAATGCGGTGCCGACCCAGTGGCAGGGAAAGGGGAGGTGAGGCCGCCCACCTTTTCAGTCGACGCCTTCATGTATCTTGAAGAGGACATTGAGGAATTGGTGCAACGTGGGTGCATCGCACGGGAATACTGTCGAACGTGTGGGTCGATTGCGATTGGTCTGTGCGACTACATTACACACTCCTTTTCACAGGATCAATTGGTTTACATTTCCTGCTATCTGATTCCTTCTCTCAGTGACGCCTCTTACGTTTTCACAACTGACTTGTGTCTACGCCGACGTGAAAAGCAGATCTTGAATGCGAGTGCTCCTTTTACGTGTCAGCACGTTGTAGATGTTGGCTCACGTCTTGGCGTGGTGCTTCTTTCCTGTTACTTTGCCGCACACCAGCAACGTTTAAAAACGACACGGCGAGTTACAGGTGTGGAAATTGACGATAAAATGATAGGCTTGCAGCACGATGCCATTGCGCGCTTTGCCACCAGACCCACGTTGCTTCAGCTGGATCTCGTTCACAGCAGTTGTCTTGAGGGGCCCGGTGCGGAGGTTCTTCGCGAAGCCGATGTGATCATTCTTCATAACGTTTTTGAGTACTTTATTTCGTCAACGGTGGAGCACCTCAAGTGTTGGCGGCGTCTTCGCGAAATAGTGGCGCGCCGCGGCCAGCTGCTCATATGTTGCCCGAGCTTAGAGGAAACCTTTGCCTCGTTTACGGAAGATGATGTGCACGGCATGACGAAAGGCGACAGGACTGCCGGCGGGCCGGTCTCTCAACAGGGTGAGGTTGAATTCAACCGCAAACGGCAGCGCGAGGGGGAGAAGAAGAAGGATGGAGGTGTTGTGGAGAGTTGGTGTCGGTCGTGGGTGGAGGAGATTGACGTGGCGGAGGTGCGCGAGGCATTTCTCGCCTACCGCCATGGAAAATACTCCTGCCGTGATGCTCACTCCTCGTGTGATGGTGAAATGGACGAAGAGCTGACGGAAAGAATACAGAGTGTGAGGGTCTATATGGTGAAATAACAACCGTTTAATTTTTTTTTACTAATATTTTTTTTTGTTGTGGTGGTTGTATGTGTGCGGTGCGCACTGTTGTTATCGCTTTACCCCAATTCACACACACACACACACACACGCACATTCCTCCACTCTATTCTTGTGAGTGCATGCCGTGTGTTCTCGGCGCGGTGGGCAAACTTCTTTTTTGTTGTTGTTTCCTCACCTCTCATTGTTGCTTCCCAGTACGCCTTCACAGCTTGAGGTGCTGCTGCTGTTTGTGTGCGTGTGATGCATAAATCCGTCGATTCCCCGTTTTTGGTTGTTTGTTTGTTTGTTTGTTTTGGATGGTTAGTTGGTTGCCTCCCTTCTTTTGGTGGGACGAGGGATATAAAAGACGGGGGAAGAGAAAAAAGCATAAAAACAAACATTTTTAATTAAAGGCAAGAAATAAACACATATATATTATATAAACAACTTTAAAAGGAAAAAAAAAAGGAGGGGGGGGGATGGGCGCCTTGCAGCTCATAACCATCACAACCATGACGGTGGGGAAGATCCTCATTTGCTCTCTTGTAGGGCTTTTTGTCTCCAAACACTTTGTTGCGCCAGAGCAGAGCGTTAAGGGCCTCAGTGTGATTTCGGTTTTTATTCTTCTCCCGTGTCTTCTTTTCTCCAACCTTGTGTTGCGCGTCACCTGGACGGAGTTGCGGCAGTACTACTGGGCCCCACTTCTTGCCTGCTTTCCCACCGCCATTGGATTTGTGTGCTCACGGGCATTTAGGCCTTTTCTTCACCCCGGTTGGCACAGCGTACTTACGTTGGGATGTACTTTTCAAAACGGCTTGACTTTTTCTTTAGCGATTCTTTTAAATATAAAAGGTGTGTCGTGGTTGACAACAGAAGAGGTGGAGCGGGGAGAATCATACGTTTTTCTTTATAACATCGTCTGCTCTCTTGGACTGTGGGCCATCGGGGAACCCATTATTAGATTGAGCAAGAAGCGACTGGAGCAGAAACGTCTTTGTAAACAGCAGTTGCAGCAACATGAGGGGGAAGAGCAAAGGAATAATGTGCAGAGGCCGAAAATGGAGGCCGCCCATGACACAATTGTTATATACCCGTATGAGGTGAATTACTTGCCCGTAAAAAATGGTAAATCAGTTGCTGGGGCAAAAGAGA